AAGAGAGAGAGGAAGAGGAACACACTCTAATTTATCCAGATTACGATAAGCAACTAAAAGTCGATTTGGAGCTTTCAAAGTAGCTTTCAAAAGTTGACACTTTTTAAGAAACAAATGAATATGAAAAATGGGATTTAAAATGAACGAAATGGGATTTAAAATGACTAAATTGAACTTTCAGTTTCAATTTGAAACATTTCCAATCAGACTGTACTTATTTGTGTCTAGAGAATTTCTTTTTTCTTTTTCTCTTTCTTTTCTTGGTACGTTGTGTTTTGTACTTTTACTCGCGTTGAATTCACCTCAATAAATGACTTGTAGTTCTCATGAATTCCAGACAATCACCACCCCTTTAATGGGGGAAATCTGCGTCGACAAAAGTTCGAAAAGAGAAATCGAGAATGAGTCAGCGACTCAGAAAATCTCATTTTTTTTGAAAAAGAAAACTTTTTAAGACTGAGACCAAATAATTTTGCTGATGAATTGAGCAAAAAATGTACTTCGTGACAATCTAAATCCCGGTTTACTGTAGGATTTCTGTTGACTGGATTACTGTAGGTGGGGTTATTGCAAGATGGGTTACTGTAGACAGGGCTATTGCATGCTGCAAACTGCAAAAGTAAAAACAAGAACTTTAGCACAAGCCTGATAGAACAAAATCTTTGACACAATTGGGTAATTAAAGCGACTCTGAAATCGATTTTCAAGTCGACTCACCTTTCAAACCCAAAAGTGAACATCAAATCAGAAATCGAATTATCAAAGAAAAAGAGCTGCTTCCAAGGTTCAAAGCCCAAGTCTGAAAGGGGAAATATCCGTGTAGAGATTGAGAAAGAAAGAGAGAAAGGAAGGGAGAGAAAGAGAAAGAGAGAGAAAGAGAAAGAGAAAGAAAGAGAGAGAGAAAGAGAAAGAGAGAGAAAGAAAGAGAGAGAAAGAGAAAGAGAGAGAAAGAAAGAGAAAGAAAGAGAGAGAGAGAGCAATTAGTGCCCGAAACATATAAGAGAGTCAACTTATCAAAAGTCACGTGGACGTGGTAGACTTGCGCTTTGAAGTGTACTTTGTGCTCGAATTATGTAAACACAGCATTTCTGGCGCAGCTTAGCGCTTGAAGAACCCGCCGTTTATCTATTACTATTCAACTAATACAGATAGAAAGATTGGTTGTAATTTGCTGTAAGACTTACTGTAACTAGCTTAGCTTAGCTTACTATAACTTATTCTAAAAAAGTTAGACAAAGTATAGAAGCTTATATATTTATGAATAAGTTATAAATGTTTAAGCTAAACTATTAGCAAGTAGAACAATTGTAAAAATCAAAAAGATGGATCTTTTTCGTTAGTTAAGTGCAAAAATACTATATTCTCTTAAAATATTCGGCTATTTTTTCTAATGGTCTAACTGTGTTGCTTGTTTTTTTTTGTTTTTAGAAAAGTCACGTAAATAAAGTCGAATAGATTAGTGTCCACTTTTTATTGAACAATCCAAACAAGACACCTGTCCAATCCATTCCCCCAAAATTCCAAAATTACCCGTTATTCCATCCTTTTCCCCCACTTATTTCTCTAATCGAACTCTTAGAGGTGATCTTCTTCTTCTAATTCCCACAAATCCTCCACTTCTCTCAAATGTCACGTTAACTGGCATAATGTCTTGTGTTGAGTCGAATTATTCTCTCGATTTATTGGGTTGGTGAATTGAAAACTGCGGGCTATTGTCATATGTGACAGTTTGAGCACAAAAATTCTTTGTGGCGGGGTCCTTTTATTGCGTCGGGTTACGGTAGTTTCCGACGTTTGGCGCGGAAACGTCTGAAAGGCAAAGTGTACGGTGGACGGTCCGAAAGGCATCTGTCGTCAGAGTTTTCTTATTTCAAGAGAGAATTCCTTTAAATTGATTTAAAGTAAAATGGAAATTAAACCCAATTTGTTTAATTACTTTTTTAATTATTTATTATTTATTATTATTTTTAATTTATTGGGTTGGTGAATTGAAAACTGCGGGCTATTGTCATATGTGACAGTTTGAGCACTTTCTTCAAAAGAAACCCATTTTGGTGTCAATGGGAAAGTTGTAGAGAATCAAAAATCAAGCTTATATACAAATTTTCAGAACGATTCAAAAACTGGTTTTCAAGAAATGCCAAATTTACGAATTTTCACAAAACTTGCATTTTAAGCGAAACTACTAAGTGAATCTTTTTGGAAATTTGGCTATAAGCCTAATTTTTGATTCTCTACAACTTTTCTATTGACCCCAAAATGGGTTTCTTTTGCGGAAAGTGCTCAAACTGGGAGTCCTCCATTCTCCAGTCCTCCATTTTCGAGTCTCACACTTGTCTCACACACAAACCAAAATCCTACCACGAAAGAAACAGCCTTGGTTGGGAACTTTTGGCGCATCCCCCAATACCGTCCGGACCTCGCCCCTTCTGATTACTATTTATGCCGAACTATGAGTAATGAGTTTGCGGGAGAACACTTCGATTCGGAAGAAGCAGTCAAAAATTGGCTTTGAAAGTTTTTCGATTCAAAACCAAAATCCTACTACGAAAGAGGAATCCGCAAATTGTCTGTAAAATGGGCAGAAGTCGTCAATAATAATGGAAATTATTTGGAATGAATTCATGGTTTTATGTTGAATCAATTTTAGTTCAAAGTCCGGCAGTTTTCAATTCACCAACCCAATAACTCCTTTTTAAGTACCACAATCGTTGACAAGGATGTAGAATTTGTAGCAAAAGTAGAGCCGGATTTGAGGCAGAAATTGATCCCAACAGTTTGGGCATAGTGACGACAAAAATTGGATAGTCTAGTCCACGAAAATCTGAGCTAACTTTGAGCAAATGAGGCCTATCCAACTCGGGTGTCGTGTCGTCTTGTTTGCATGGGAATGAAAAATCCAGTAAAGCTTTATTTGATATCATTTGAAAGCCTGAAATGTGCTCTGTAAAATGGAATAAAAAGTTAACAAAAAAATATTTTCTCTGGACAAAGTTATAGGCCTTCAAAGCGTGACGATCCGTTCAAAAAAACCCGAAAACTACACAAGAACTCTTCAATTTAACATTAGGCTTTATTCTTTCAAAAGACATTTTCAAATTGCAAAAGAAAAACACTTTTTTAGAAATCTTTTCTTCTTTTTTTTGTCAGATATTCAAAAATAAAAGGTTTTATAAAATAAAATAGATTCATAAATAAAAAGGTTTCATAAAAGCCTCAAAATTTATCAAAAATTCACTTTCCTTTAAAAAAAAATTTGTTGAGTGGAATTGAAAAACTTATGGTTAAAGAGAGCACGAAATCAGCTTTCTAATGGTATTTAACATTACAAGTAATAGGTTGATGCATAAGTCTTTTCGTTTTTTTCGTACTTCTGTTAAAAAGTAACAAATTCACGAATTAATCTATAGTTTGCTCTATAAAAAAAGTGTTTTTTTGTTCAATTTGCATCTTTTTAAATGAATTTCGGTTCACTTTCAAGCAAATTCGAGAGTGAAAAACGCCTTTTTCGTAAAAATCTATAAAAAACTCTACGGAAAAATTGGCTGAATGAATTTCTCTGAAATTTTGGCGAAATATCAAACGTTTTTTTTCTCTATCTTTTATCTATTGACACGAAGATAGGTTTTCTTTAGCTAAGGTGTCTAAACCGCATCATCGAGTTAGCCCTTTTTGACTACCCGACTTCATACTCTCAAGAAAATCCAGGCATTAAATATTTTTAAACCCGTTTTAATGTTATTTTGCAGAAAAATAATTGCTTTTTCTAATGAAATCAACCGTAGTTTAATTGGTGCATTTGTTGGCTTGAAACGGCAGACGAAAAGGAACAAAAACACTTATGCATCAACCTAATATATAACAATTTCTAATGGTATTTAACATTACAAGTATATAACAATTTCTAATGGTATTTAACATTACAAGGTACAGAGGATATTTTATTGAGAAAAATGTGCCCAAATAATAAACAATACAAATGTACTATTACAGTATTTACGGTAGGTTTCTACAATACGGTACGATTGACTCGCCTTATTTATATTGTCCCAGGAAGGAGGATGCATACAAGAAAATACCATATTTATGAGTGAATTCCACCTGAAAATCGTGTTTTAGATACCAGATTCGTTTTTTTTGTTTGTTTTGTTTACCGGAATAGCCACCAAATGATCAGTTGCATAAAAACAATTGAAAATGGCCAACAAGAGAAGTAGATACCTAAATACAGTCGACTCTCTCTATAACGGAACTCTACATAGCGAAAAGCTTTATGTAACGAAATGGAATTTTGTTTCCGGACGACGCTAAGCTATTTTAAATATTAAAAAATAAACTCTATATAGCGGAATTCTATAAAATGAAAACTCTCTATAACGGAGGAAAAATTTGAAACCCCTTATATTAATTTTATAATAATTAATCATAATTATTATTATTATAATTAACTATAATGATAATAATCAGCCGAAGATGTAGAGGAAATAAGAAAAATGCTAAGACATGGTGGGCTTCGATTTCTTTTAAATGAGCCCTAAATGCAGATCTTAGCGATTGATGCAATTATGCGTCCCCCCCAAGGGGTAATCCGTATGTCAGTGGCGCCGCGGTATATTATTGCAAAGCTTACTGTCATTTTGGCAACAATGTATGTGAAACTGCTCATACAGAAAATTCATTCAACCACAATTATAATTACTAGGAACAAAAAAACCCGCCATTATAGAAGTGAGAAGAATAAAACAAAGAATCATTGTAACCTACCAGTAAAACAGAAAGATCATACCAAAAACAACTAAATATATGCAGCGATAAAATTGAATAAAAAAATGATCGTTTAATGTATTGATTTAATGTATTCATCATCAGATGAGTATTGATCATCCGAAGAATCAATCGAAGAAATTGATTGATTTGTGGAAATTGATGAGATGTTTGAAAAAGAGATCGTCCTTTCGTATGTAGCATTATCCAAAGTAGTCTCCAAAAAGTCAACATCAATGATCCGGGTTTCCCGAGGTGAGCGTTGAAGACTCTTCATGGTCAGCCGCATTTCGTTCGTCCTCACTTTTTGTTCGTTGCTAAAGCACAAAAAACTACTGCATAATAACTCGTGAAATAACCTGAACTGAGAGTCGGTCGAATCCATCAAGCACGTTTGCACCGTTTCTGTCGGCAAGTTCGGGGCTGAATTGGAGAGGCCGAATTGAGTATTGTAAATCAATGGGCGCTCCAGTGGAAGAGAATTCAGGTTCACTAGACTGCTTGATCGTCGAATGGGCATTCCAGTAGCTGAACGAAACATTTTCATTTTTCGGATGAGATGATACCTTAAAAAACATATGAACGTGTGCACAAATTTTACCACCTTACCTTGGATCCCACAAAGCCGTTTGTTTTACCGTTGTGACACGATGATTGTATTCCAAGAGTCTCGCTCGATTTACTCTTTGCAATAGCAGCATTTGTTGGAGTTCTTGGTCCTCGTCTTGGTCTTCTTTCGTCCATTCCCATCTCTTCTTTTCGTTCTCGATTCGGTCCCAATCGACTGGGTCGTCTAGTTCTCGTCGGACAAGCTTCTCCCAATCGATCGTCGCCTGAGACGTCTGAGATGTCTGAGACGCAGTTTCTTCGTCTTCCTCTTCGCTCGTTGGAAGGGAGTTCGTCAAGCCATGATACTGATGCTGAACGTGAAAGAGCGGAGCCTGTTGACGGCGAAGATATTTCGCTTGCATCGTTGCTAAAATAAAATAATGGGTATACCTATACCAAAACTACTAACTTGACAGATAAGGAACAAGAGGATTTTGCAGATGAGAAGGAGAGCTGTCTGTAGCCATCATCGGAAACTCTCTAAACAAAAAGCAATTAGTTCTTCATAAAATAGACAAACGATTGTTCCGGCGCATAAGGCTTCAATCGATCCTTGGTGTTTAAAGACAAAGCGCTAAACAAAAACGCCAATCAAATAAAATCAATGAAACAAACCGCTGATGTGAGTAGATACGATCGATCAATTTTCTCTTTAAAAGCTCTCTTCTAAATAAGGTGCTATGATTTCATTTATCCAGATCTTTAAGGTTCAAAAACGCGATTTTCTATACAATTATTTATGCAGTTAGGAATATGCAAACCTCCTCACTTCTTCTTCAATCTCTTGGTCTCGTATGCTTTCAAACACATCTTCATTTAAACATAAAAATCCTGGGCGAGCACCAGTCTTACACCGCTTACTGAAATTTCAAAAATTAAATATAAAGGTTGTCAACTTTTTTGTTTAACTCAAAACCCACCTCCGATATGGAAATGAAATGATATCTTCCCAAGAATGTTCACCCGGTTGATTCACCCATTGATACAAGTTGTAGATCGTTCGTATGTCGTATAATGAACTAGAGCTGATGAGTACAAAAAACATGGTTCATTGCAAACCTTGATGGATCACGATTTTGAAGAAGATCAAGTATCACGCCAATGCAACGATAGCCACAACTCCAACCATCCATCTAAAAAACAATTTTGCCAAATTTATTTTTATTGTAAACCTGTGGGTCGATGTCATACACGTGTTCAACAAACACCTCGCTTCTGCCTTCCTGGCAATCCAAATGACCGAAGAGGTCCAGTATTTGTCGCACGACCGAACTTGTAATCTAAAACGATTTTAGCTTAATTAACCTAGACAATTACTGTCTCTTTTAGAAATCGGTCCTTCATGCTAGCTTCGTTAAGTAGTGGATCATAGACTCTCAACAAAGGCTCTCCATCTTCAAACGTTAAATAAACCTAAAGCTTTTTATAAAAATTGAAAAACAAAAATAAAAACCGTTATATAATGTTGCCTGTATTGATCAAAGATGATTTGGATCACTTCATCGCCTGGCTTGATTTGTGCTTGCAATGTTGGATCACACTAAGACCATAAATGATCTTATTCAAAAAGTGCAGTCACCAAAATTGATTGAATCGCAAAAAATCCATTGACCTGCCGAGGGGCAACCATTTGTACCCGATCACAGAACACGTTAAGCATGTCATCACAAAGACGAACACCAAATGGACCCTAAACGGAAAACTTTATTAATCCAATGCAGTAGTAATTTATAAACACGAGTTTCTAGCCATTCCGATCAAAAGTATGCAATCAACCTCATCATTCAGAACTTCGGTTGAGCAACCCATTATGGGCTCGTCTCCCGGCTCACCACCGCTTTCTGTCGTGTTGTATATCTTGCTAAAAATGCGAAAGATCTGTAAATTGAGAAAGATAAACGAAAAGGGGGATTTGAAAGGTTAAATGTCACAGTGAATCTAGATAAATGCTAAGGCTAAAACGAGTCTGCAGGTTGGTGAAGGATTGGCAAACAGAAGTTGAAACTAACAAGAATTAAAAATTTTTCCGACACAATTTAGACTAAACGAAATGGGTACGGTAGTAGGTGCAGTTTAAAATTCAACCGGACCTTTTTCCAACAATCATGAGACTTTTGAGAAACGTCATAAAGATTGTTGCACCTTGTTTCAATTTTGTTGTAAGTTAACACGTTGACGACATTGTCACCTGATGCTGTCTGACACATATTCGTTCGCCTGGGACATTGTCACCTGATGTCAGGTGACAGTACCAAAATTGATTTTTTTTTGCATATTTATGTTTGCTGATGATGGATATTAAATAAGCAAGTAGGGTAGTATCTATATTCGACTTGGTCCCGGAAAATGTCGATTTAACCGTTGATTATTAAAACCGGAACCAGAATCCCGGCCCAAGTCTAATACGGACCCCTCTGACCATTTCCTTGCAAGAATAACAACTAATAACAACAACTAATAACAACAACTAATAAAAATAAATAAGAACAACAACTAAAAATAACTACTAAGAAAAAGGACTATGAACAATTGTTGTGACTACACTGAAAGCAGGCAAGACACAAGAAATTTTCACAAATGGTGCATTGAGTTCTGACTTTTTTGGCGTTGCGACGGGCATAATCTCGGCCATGCTCGTCGGACAATTGTTTGTAGCAACTTTTGCAATGCCGTCTATCATTTGTCTTCCTGTCCGGGTTTTCCACTAGCTTTCGTTTTCTACCTTGGCTTGATGTCTTACGCTGGCCCATATCCAATAAATATTCGATGATTTCAACTTTGAAATCATTCAGTTTCAATTTTTCGGTTTGGCAGCGAAGAATCCAAGCGTTCACCATTGCTGTTTGAGTGAGCATGTGGAAGAAAATTCTCATATACCACTTTGCAGTCTTGCGGACAAATGGAGTGTAAGCTGCCATCTGATCGCTCAGGTCAACAAATCCTTTCATCTTATTGTAGTCTTCAACTACTAAGGGCTTGCCATTAGCAGCGCAAGCGTCGTCGTGTCGTGTGGAGAGCATGTGGATGTCTCGCTTGTCCTTCCACTTGAGTACCAAGATTCCGCGATTGTCTTGCTGACTGTACAGTTGTCCTTTTTAGGATATCCGTGGAATAGGAATAGGAAAATAGGAAAATTACTGATAGGAACTGATAGAATAGGAAAATTACTGATAGGAATACTGATAGGACATCCGTGGTGATTTATAGTCACCAGCCTTTACGATCTGGAATTATTTAGAGATAAGTGCTAGTTATCTCCTACTTAGAAACATCACCAATGAATAAAACTTTCTAGATTATTGTTATTTCATAATTATCAAATAATCATTTTAAATTTTCACAAAAATTTTAAGTTTGAAAAAAAAGAGCTCTGTGGGACATTGTCACCTGATGTCAGGTGACATTTTTTGTCGAAAAAAAACAACGTGGTCCCATGCGATTGTTTGTGCAAAAACGCCATTGTCGTCAACGTGTTAAGCAAATGGCAGGTACTCATTGCCTCCAAAAACCCATAAAATGCTTAAAATCCTTCATTTCAACAATTTATTTAATTTACTACACATTAATGAACGGATACAAATCAGCAAAAAGTTATTTTTGCTAAACATTCTACAAATATCATAGTTTTAAAGTACCCTATTTTACAAAAGTTATCACAAAATGAGCTTTATTTGTTTACAATCAGAACGAGTAAATGGTACTAGAATCCCTAGGTTACAGTGTAACCGCGTGCGTCAAATTGATTCTGAAGGGTCATACTGGAGCGAGTGGTGATCCTCACATCGAATTCCACATCACAAGGTCCCACGTCCACATATTAAGCAGCACGTCCGGCACGAACCGCAGTCTTTCTAGCCTAAAAACGAAAAAATCGAGACTTATTTTAATTCCAACGTTTTAAATTTGAAGAAACAAGAGAAAATAAAAGAAAACCAACCTGAAGAGTGACATTGAAAAGAAAGAATCGATCGCGACTAGCTCTAGGGGATCGACCATACGGGTTGTGGTCAAATTTACGCTGGCGAATTGGAGCATGAAGAAAACGCCAGGTAATTCCAGTTTCGGGATGATACACTTCAAAGTACCTTTGAGCGAATGTATACCGTAGAGCACCTTCTTCCGTAAACTTGATCAGTGAGCGCTGCATCTAAAATATCAAATTAAAAATCAACTAAATATTGAAATCTATATGATAACAAAATGATTTATCATCATCTCTTAAGCAAATCTATTAAATCATAGCTATGTTATAGAAAAAAAGGTAGACATTATTATCGTAAAAACTAACCTCTTTCTCAGATCCCGATTCGGAAATCTGATGTTGATTCAAGCTAAATGTTAGATTTAATTTAACCTTTAAATGTTAAGTTTGTTAAACAAAAATTTCTAATTACACAAATAAAGAAAAATGAATGTAGGTCTCGTTTAATCATTTTATTTAACTTAAATGAAAATTACGTGTTTCCACGGATGTCGGATTCATTCATATCATCTTCATTCTCAGAGTCAGAAGTGGTATTTGGCGATAACTCGCAATCGGGAAGCTGTACCTAAAAATTTATCGGTTCAATTCCAGAGAAAAGCCTAATGTCTATTTAAAAGTTGAGGTAAAACCAATGCTCAAGAATCAAGGAGTTTAAACAAAAATCGAGCAAAAATTTAAAAGACTACCTGATGATAGCCAGCAACCCTTGTGAGTTTCTCCACAAAACTGCCAAACTTGAGTGCATCTTCAAATTCAGCACAGAGGTCGACGCGATAAGCGGTATCAAATCCAGTTTGATCTTCATACTGAAATAAAGAAATATTTAAATTATATTACGTCCTGAAAGGTATTAACTAACCGATAATCAAGTTGATAGTTTGATATACGAAAAGATATAAAAAATGAACCTGAAGCAACATTTCCTGCAAGGTACCCTCGATCTTGCCCAAGGATTTGATGAAAAATTTCCGATCCGCATGATTGATTGCGTAGCCAAAACGAAAGGGTTTGCCTCCATAAACAATCTCCAAATAATCCGATTCCAGTGTGAAAGAATCGAAATCTTTGACGAAGCAAACTTCAGGTGCCATCATCACACAACTAAACAATTAAAGTTAATGACTCATAATCAATTCACAAGAATCAATGATGAATTTTGTACCAAAAATAAGACGTATTTGATAAACTAATAAAGTAATAGTGTTGAACGGATTGAATAAAAATGTTAATCTTAAAAGAATATTTCTAAACTGCACCTACTACCGTAATCATTTCGTCTAGTTTATATTGTGTCCGAAAAATCTCTAATCCTTGTTAGTTTCAACTTCTGCTTGCCAAATCCTTTACTAACCTGCAGACTAGTTTTAGCCTTAGCATTTATCTAGATTCACTGTGACATTTAGCCTTTCAAATCCCCCTTTTCGTTTATCTTTCTCAATATAGGTTTTCTCGCGTATGCTCCTTTTTATTATGGTTTCTGTAGAATCTGTAGAAGATGTATAGGGCTTTTATATAAAATTACTATGAAATTTTGAGCTCGCAACGATCGCAAGGATAAGAAACAGACGATAATTTAAAAATCCTTGCTATAGCATATGCACTGACTCTATCCGAGAATGAGCATAACTAAAAAAACTAAAAGAGCTTTTGAGAAACGTTTTTGATTTTTAAAAGCTACAAATACTTACCGTAAATACTGTAATAGTACCCGACCCCCATAATGACGGTGCGGAGTGTTGCGTAGTCTAGCTTTGCGCGAGTTTTTCTCGACACTGGCTTATGCTACAATGCGCGCTTAAGTATCAAAAAATAGCCCTGAATTTCAGCTATTTTTTTGATACCAAAGACGCATTTTTTGAAAGGATGGGCGCTTTGAAAAAAAATGAAATACTAAAAAACTTTTGCGACTACGCGACTTTAAGAGGGCGGTGGGATACTACTACAGTATTTACTAGCTACTTTTTAAACATAAACTTAGAAACATGTTTGCAGGACGCTGTTCATGAAAAGAATCGTGCACAGAATTTTCAGTCACTGTTTATATTGTGCATAATGCTTTTTGTACTGTTGTACTGTGTAATACCTGCTGGTTTATCTAGGTAATCAGCTTTTATTCAGTAATTGTTTATGATAAAAGTTTATTTGATAGTTTATTTGATAAAATTCATATTTCATCACCATCTACCACCACCAATATTGTCCGGCTCCGGCTCCGGCTCCAGCAGCTCCAGCAGCTCCCGCCGAATCACCCTTTCCTGCTGGTGTATCACCTGAAATCGATAATAAAAGTTTAAAAAATAAAGAATTGATAATAAGATAAAAGATAATAGAATTTTGTGTAGATAACAGCAAAAAAGAAAAAAATTGATATTTGTGTATAAAGGATAGGTTCATTGCAGTCAGAAGATCGAATTTTAGGAAAATTTTAGGAAAAAGTGAGTGCTTTGCATGCAAAAATGAACTGAAACTGTGAAAAGCAGAACTTAAATTGAAGAAAACTCAAAGAAAGCTTTTAAAAAAAATGCAAATTTTCCTCATTACCATACGAATAGCCATTTGGCTCAATGAAGTACTCATTTGATGGAGTTGCTAGAGAAAGAAAGAAGCTACAAAATATCAAAAAAAAAATCGATATAAGCTTTAGATTGAATATCTAATAATCTAAAAGAAGAGAAATATATTTTATAGATCAAATTTCCAATTACTCATTTTGTTTTACCCGATGGTGGAGCGGCTTCAGTGGTCACCGGATCCGTCGATGGGTTCGAGTCCTTGGACACGCCTAAAACAGAAATTTATTTGATTTCTTAATGCAAAACAACTAAAGAACTCTAATTTACATTAAATCTCTTCATTTTTCGGTCTACTTGTCAATAGGTGTACAACGGAAACACGAGATTTGAGTCCTGAAACAATCAACTATGGGAGTGGCTACTTTGCGCGAAAACTAGACCATAAATTTCTTCTAAGCGAGCTAATCTTTATGCTTTTGATGCCATTTTGTAGATCTCAACAAGTGCAACAAAATAACACCAAAATCATAAAGATTAGCTCACTTAAAAGAAAGTTATGACCCAATTACGTAAAGAAATTTTGGCGCAAAGTCGCCATCCCTAAAGTTGACCGTTTAAGTGAGCAAATCTCGTTTTTCCGTTGTACACCTATTGACAATTAGACTGAGAAATAAACATCTTTAATTTGCACATAAAATCGATAACATTTCTCACCTTCACAGTGTGCACAAGTGCCCGGCATTCCTTGCTCTCCTTTCGGCCCTTGTGGACCGGGTAGGCCAGATTCGCCCGAGTCACCCCTAAACAATTTTGACCAAGTTTAGCTAGATCACAAAATAGAAAACACAAAGTCTTCATCCAGTACCTATCGCCAACGGCTCCGCGCACTCCGCCCATTCCCTGCAATCCCGGTTTTCCATCGTTTCCCCGTCCTCCCGACGGGCCTCTCGGTCCCATTTGACCGGCTGGACCGGGTGGACCTGGTGGAGCACCATTGAGTACCTAAACAGATCCTAAACCTAGTATTTTCTCTCACTCACCTTTCCGCGATCACCTCTCGGTCCTTTGGGTCCAGGTGGGCCGGGCGGACCTCGAACTCCCGGTGGTCCAGGTGGTCCAGCGCGATTATTCTCTCCATTTCGGCCGGATTTCCCCGGGTTTCCAGGTGCTCCTCGTTCACCCTATAAGAAAAATCTCTTTAAAAATAAGCTCCTTTATAAAACTCTTTTATAAACCTTATTCCCAGGCATTCCTGGGGGTCCGGGTGTTCCGGGTGCACACTTTTGACAGGCTCGCTCCTCGGCTGGTGGAGCGGGTAGATAAACACCGGGATGACCATCTCGTCCACCCTGGCCCGGTTCTCCATCCATGCCTAAACATTCGTTTGTATAGCGAGTTTAGAAATGATCCTGATAGCATCAAACGATAGTTTAAATCTGTCTAAGCTCTAGTCCAGCTCTAGTCCAGCTCTAGTCGATTCAATTCTTCTCTCTTTACCAGGATGCCCATCCTCTCCAGCATTTCCCCGTTCTCCAGCCGGTCCATGTGTACACGCACAACACGCGCCGCTTCCCCGTGCCGCATATGAATATCTTCGCGCTTGACGGGCTTCTCGACTTCGGACTCCCGGCATCACTGTCACTTGTTTCCAGATGTCACGGGATTCCATCTGAAAAACCGACATTTATTGACTTTCTTTTCAAGATTCTCGTCATTAATCCTAGCTCAAACTGTACACATAGCAGGATAGTTTAAAGAGGGTACAGTTCAGCGTAAATACCGCTGACCATTACAAGTGTTGAGCTAGAATCGTCAAAATAACGTTATGAAAAGTAGCACAAATAAGTGCCGTATGGTGCCTAAGAAGTGAATACTTTCGAAAACTATTGTACTTGAGTTCACATTATCTCACCTTACACAAATCAACTTGTGCCAACATGACCGTTGTTTGTTGTCGGATATACGTGTGTGCCAGCGGTAGAACAATTACCAAAGCGACGAGCGAACATGTTGAGAGAATTGAGGCCATGTAAACGGCCACTCGAGTGCCCGGCACCCAATCCATTTTGCTGAAAGTTTGCTTGAAATTGCAAAGAATGCATACGTTTAACAAAAAACCTGGGTAAGACTGAGAATAGATACCAGAAAAGCAAGCAGCTCAATGAAGATTGTTCAAAAAGCCTTGAAGAACAAAAAATGAAAGAGTTTGACAAAAAAAATGGGTCAGTGTGGGGGAAAGGGAAATGAAACAGTTTTCCTGAATCGTGAAGAGAAAAACCAGCTTAATAGTCTATCAAGGAAACTCTTTCCGAAATACCTTGACCTAATTTGGATGTGAAATTGTGGTTTTCTCTTTTTATCAAGAGCACCATGCATCTTTTTTGCCCAAACTCTCGAACCTAGAGGGGTTTGTTTCTTCAAACTTTCAACTCCGATATCAAAATCTTTATGCGTCATGAAACATTTAAAGAAAACAAACTCAAATTCATCGCCAGACCGGTATCAGAAAAAAAAACAATAAATTACAAGTAGATAAAAGAAATCACATAATTGCCACAAGGAAAAAGTATCAAAAAATCATCGATTTTCCTTTGTCGTTTTAATGAATAGACACATGTTCGAGATTCTTGTGCACCATCTCCTCCTTGAGAATCAAATGAGAAACCTAAAAAAGAAATATGAGAGTTTAAGTATCTAACAGTATTACTTTATTGAGTGTATCCGTCAACTGTCGCACATTATGGGCCCATTGATCCAAATGGTCAACATGTGCCTAAAATCAAAAGATAAATCAAAGTTTAAATAGCAAATTGCCCAAAAAGTCATTTCAAAATTGTCACCTTTCTTGCTCGCAAATTAACCACTCGATTTGGTCGATGAATCTTCGCAACTGTGTTGGGGATAGCTCCAGTGACGATGAGATTGCACAAGAATTTTTCCATTTCCTAAAAACTCAGTGAACTAGAATTTTTTTTTTGGCTATTACATCAACAGGGAAGTCGAGAAGCTCAGCAAGGCGATCAAATGAGATTTGAGTGTAGTACTTGGCAATCATTCGCATGTTCTAGAATAACAAAATAAACACATCATAAAAATAAATAAGCACATGTTCGCCAACACGCAGGTGGAGATCTTCCCAACGTTTGTTGCCACTCTCTGAACTTTCAAACACCTAAAGAATTCATAAAATATTAAAATAAAAACTATTTCTACCCCAGTAGCCGGACAAGTTGGAGTTCCCGCGCGAAGTAGGGCTTCATATTGTTTGCAGATTGCCTCCTTCCAGTTGTTTTTTTAACCACCACACCACCACAAATTTTAATTTTTTTTTTTTTTTTTTTTTTTTTTTTTTTTTTTTTTTTTTTTTAATTTCCTCTTCTTTTTAACCCTCCTCCTCCCCCCTTTTTTTAAAGAAGAGGGACCCCCCCCCCTTTTTTTTTTCCATGTGGAGCCAAAAAAAATAGCCAAATTTAAAAAAAAAAAAAATTTTTTTTTATAATATATTTTTTTATATAAACTAAAACCCCCCATCCTCCCCCCCCCCCCCCCCTATTAAATAATAAAAAAAAACCCCCCCCCCCCCCCCCCCTTTTTATTTTCCAAGACAAAAAAAAAAAAAAAACAATTTAAATAAAAAAAAGTGTTATCTTTAATTAGAATAGAAATTTAATTAGAATCAAACCATTTTGCTCTTCTCGACATCAGCAAGAACCTTTGGAGTCTCTTGAATAGCTCTAAACCATAAACATTTTAATAGAACTGTCAAAAAGTCAAACCGGTAGTGGCGACAAACATCTAAATAAGCATTGTCATTCAATCCAATCACGATCATAAGTTCATAGTACTTCAGTTTAAGGTTTTGAACCTGAATTTAAATAAAGTTTGTTTGTTAAGAAAAAAATTTAATACCACATCGTCATTAGGATCCTTAGCGAAGAACTTTGTGCTGATCTTTTTCGAGATAATTGCCGCTCGGACATGATCCTTGCGAGCGATCGACAAGCGCATTTGTTCAAGTAAGAATTCCACCTAAAATAAGTTAATATATTTGCTTTCTTGAGATTAAACAACCTTTTTCTTTAATATCCATGCTGCCATATGTTTCGACTTGAAGCTCGAGAAGCATATTGGTGGCATCATCAAGTTTTTCTAAAAGTATCATTCTCAACTTCTAAACAAAACAAATAGATTGTTCACCTTGTGCTTCAAGCTTTTTGACAACATATGATGTTAGACGGGCTCGCTCAACTTCAACATAGATCTACAAGAGATATTTCATAAAATCAAACATTGAAAAATACTTTTCCAGCCGTCACAGTGCGCAAAGTATCAATCAAACTCATCTTCAGTTCCTCATTGGGCATGTTTTCTACCATCGCACAGCAGTCGCGAACCTTAATAATGGAGTGTTTGGTTTTTAAAAATGTGAAGCTACCATCCGAGCAATCGCCACTTTGATCAGAAGTCGCTTCTTTGAGAGTGAAATAATCGTGTCGTTTAGTAGTTGCCACTTCTGAGAGTCAAAGCACAACCTAAAAACAAACGTAACGCGATAAAAAATGATAAGCTCCCCAATAAATGTTAAATACTAACTTGACCATATGCTGAACAATCCTCGTGTTACTCTTCATGTCACAGCCAAGACGAGATTGCTTCTCAAGAGCTGACAGCGACTCAACGGCACCGGCCACATTACCACTCTAAAATTGATATTTGAAAACGTGTTTAAAGTTTGAATACTTTAAGATGGAATTAACATGCTTGATATAAAGAAAGCTATAAATTTTTACCACAAAACAAAATGCTTTACTCAAACGTTAAATGTACCTTTGCCATTTGATCAGCTTTCGGCAAAGCGTCATCGACGTTCTTCGTGTAATCGACTTCCATCTTGAGAAGGCGGCCATCTCCTACCTAAAACAAGTGATTAGTCAAACGTTTTATTCAAAATCAATTAACTGTTCATAAAAAACAAAATTACCTGAGCCGCTAAATGTGCCAAATCGGAAAACTCGCTCTTCTCGCCCGTTGGAATGGGAGCCACCGTGATTGGAGTCCGTTGCTCGCTCATTCTTTCTGAAAAATAAAAAAGATTACATACTTTTTAAAATTAAACAGAGTTGATAAATCAGAAAACAATGAAAAGATGAAAAGGCTGACAAATGAGAATTTTTTTGATCATGTTGTACGCGTGAATACAAAGTACGCGTTTTTACGAGATGGCTCAAATCTTATGAAACTACAATAGGTTATTTAAGTAGTATTCGAAGAGCTTTAGGTTATGGGAGTGGGACAAATGCGACCTTTTTTTTGCGCACCCGGACATTTGTGCACCTTTTTTTCCGCACCTTGCCCATTAGCGCACCTTTTTTCGCGTTTTAAACGGGTGGTTTTACCGCCGGGGGTGGGACAAATACGACCTTTTTTTTGCTGGAAAAGGCCTTAGGAAAGGTCGTAGAGCTTTGAAAATATTTCCAGATAAGGGAATCGTATGCGTAGATTCCGAACTTTGACAAATCAGACCTCGCTGACACGTCAAATTTGGGCTAAAAGGCAAAAACTACGCAACTTAACGCTTTTCCGTAGTTTTTACCTTTTAGCCCAAATTTGACGTGTCAGCGAGGTCTGATTTGTCGAAATTCGGAATCTACGCATACGATTCCCTTATATGGAAATATTTTCGAAGCTCTATGGCCTTTCCTAAGGCCTTTTCCAGCAAAAAAAAGGTAGCATTTGTCCCACTCCCAGTTTTTGATAAAAGGTTCAACACTTTTGCGTTGACAACGCACAAGATTACAAGACTCTTTAGTGCTTAAATCCTGTTTTAAATCTATTAAAACAATTAACTAAACGGAAATGAATGCCAAACCACGAAATGACGAATGACAAATGAACTTTTTTGCAATGAACGCGAGAAATTAGCGACGTAATTTAAACGCATATTGAGATGTTTAAATACAAATCTTTTCGTTTCTTTTCTCAAATTGATCTCATGTCCTTTAGTACTCAAAAACATAACAGAACCTACCTGTTTACAAAAAAAACATCGTACAATTAGTTACCCATGCATTGTGCTTGATCTCAAGAGTGTTAAAAACGCTACTCGTCAGCAAAAAGACATTGTGTATGCCCTGACCATTCCAGCAGTCTTTCACGCATTAAGCGGCACAAGTGGTGGATTATGCGGTCTCTCCCGGGCGAGCTTCCGATTAGTCAACAACGAACATCTATAAAACTTGCCAATTGGTCTACGTCGAGTCTTTTCCCTGACCATTTGCAATGTTACGAACGAGTTTTATTATATTTTTGTGCATTTCTTGTTGTCGATCTTTGAAAACAAAGGTTTGTTTGGTTGATTTATCCTTTTCGAAAGGAAAAGCAAGACTTTTATCGAACTTTAAGCTGACTTTGACTTTAGTTTAGAATCTGAATTTAAAATGGATCCAAAAATCGAATAAACTCAACAACATAGTACAGTACTAGTTACAGGGGATAGTCAAAGCAGCGCCATAATAGAAAACGTTCAAAACAGCGCCGTCAAATTTCTCAAAATCCAAAAAACCAAGCCGGTTCAAGTTTTATATCAAAAAATTCCTTGCGTTCTTGGCTACATGATGGATGAAACAGTTTAAAAAAAAGTTAATATTTCATAGATAAAAAGAGCACTCAAAATGGGTCTCTAAAGATATTCAGTTAACCAACTGAGTATCACTCGCCACACATCAGCTTATCAGTCTGGATATAAAATGAGACTTGGCTTTAGTTGTATTACGGTAGCTTTTTCTGGAGGGCCTTTTTTAGAAACCACTTGAAATTCACCAAAGAAATCTACAGAATTCACCAAAGAAATTTTTTTTTCAGCGCTTACGAGCCACGCGACAGTGCTCAACTTGTGTGCGAATGAATGTCGAGATCTCACAGAGATTGAATCCCATCTCAACATCAACCACACAACAACCATGTCGATGTCCATCACATTGTGATTGTGCGATCACAGGGAAAGGAATCCCATATTGTTCTTGGTAAACATTATCATTTCTATTTCTACAAAGCGATTTTCCAGTCAACCGCAATTTTTCATCAATCTCTCCACTCAAAAGCCGCAATATTTCCCGATCTCAACACCCTCATCAACTAGGAGTTCTACTAGAAGCCCAATAGTACGAGATACCTTACAATATACAGTAAATCTAATGATAGTGACAAATTGAAATTACAGCTAATTGTTTTTCGCATTTTCTATCGTACTCCATTCTATTCTGTACTAACACGTCTAATTTTAGAGTCTGATTTTAGAGTCTAATTTTAGAGTCTGATTTTGAGGATACTGTCACTTTTCCATACACAAAATTAGATATAACTTTATACTATTCCATTTTTCAGAAAACCCCTTGCAATGCTTGTTCTCGAGCGTGTCAATCAGCCTGTAAAATGAATGACCAATCAAAAAGGGGTTGTGGGTGTACAAGAGCTTGTCAACCAGTTTGCTCACCGGTAATGATCAACTCATTGATCAATGATCACACCGTCATGCCAAGAAAGGTGAGTTTGATCTTAATAATTTTAAAAAGGACTCATCCAATTTGAAAAATAGAATAGCCTGCTAAGAATTCAGTTGGAATTGGTACTGCTGTGCAATTGGAATTGGTACTGCTATATCCCTCTTGAGCAAAGTGTTTTCTAACATTTGCCAACTTTTAGATAGATTAGATGCCAACAAAGATACAAAAAACTGTCAACAAAAACTGTCAGCTGACATTGATTTGTCAATCAATGTCAGCTATCGTAATCTTTTTTATTTTTATTCAATCTATCTACTTTTTTTTTGATTCTTAGGGATCAAAAAGGGATATAAAAAGATATAAAAAGTTGATAGATTTGGATAAAAACTAGAGTAAGTTTAGATTACAGTAATATACAGTAACTAGATTACAGTAAGTTTTCGAAAGATAAAATTCTAGAAATTCATTCTAGAAAACGATTTTTTAAGAGGAAAACATTGAGCAAAATGTTGTGAATTTAGAGAAAAATTTCGCAAGTTAATTAACCATTTTCAGTCATCACAATATTCGAATTGTGTTTCTCGTTGTGCACGAAATTGTCAACAATTTTGCCCGACAATTCACTGTGTCAATCGGTGTCATGATGGCTGTTTTACTGTGTGCTTGTGATTCAAAACTATTTCATCGTGACTGCTTTTCCCCCAGGAAAACTCTCATTTCACAAATTCATCTCGTATTTTCGAACGTTTCCCTTTATTTTTCTCGTTCCCGGGTAAACCTTTGATAAACTCATTTCTGCCGATTAATTTCATGTGTTCTAGAAAACTAAAGAGAAACTAAACTAAAGAGTAAAGAGCTCAGTGCACCAGAAAAGGTGTGTTTTAGACATGAGCTTCGGGTCCGGTCCAACTAAAATACGTCCAACTAAGGGTCGGGTCCAACTAAAATACGATTTTCTCGGGTCACATTATCCCAAACTGTAAAAATCCCCATAAATTAATAATAATTTTGACTGATTCTAAAGCATTACCCTGAGATAACGGTTCAAATGAAAGATGTTAAACTTTCTATTGAGTTCATGCATTAATCGCCGTTTCTCTGACTAGTCAATTTCGGGACTAGGTTTCTCGAGAACTACTCAACTAATTCTCGTCTTTTTTAATTCAAAGCTAGATAAGTGAGAATACTTTTAAGCTACAGAAATTTTCTGAAAATTGCGTGAAACTTTTCTTATGAAGCTTTAAGGAAAAAGTTGATTTTTAGAAAAAATCTTTTTTTTTCACAAATGCGTCTATAAACCAAAAAATTGAAGGTAAACGCGTCGAATGGTTGAAAAGAAAATTGTAGCTGATGTAAATAACGATCCAATGAGCCTTGAATGAAGGGTAGGCGATGTTCGTATCTAGTGAACAAGTTCGTGGCAGTTGACCTATTTCGAAAATGGATCGCTTCACGATTTTAGCTTTCCTAGCTTCATAATTGAGTTTTTTTTAAATGCAAAATTGAATTCTACACAAGATTACAACAAAAAACGTTTTTGTTGTAATCTTGTGTAGAATGTAGTGTAGAAACTTTTCAAAAAAACTTTTTGTTTGTGGTTTCAGACCTTTATGTGCTTTTTGAGTTTCTTAGACATAGATTTATTCAAGTAAAACAAGTAAAACATTAAAAAAGTATCAGATAGAATAAAACAAAAGTTATTCTGGAGCATATTCTCCATCCATTTCTCCATCCAGACCAGAACTGCTTCCCCATTTGCTTCGTAGAAGGTCGATTCCACGAGCGAAGAAGGCTCCGTCCTTCGAGGCAATCCAAACTTTTACATCGGCTACTAGGTCATCACAAGGATAGAAACTGAATATAGAAGAGAACAAGATCGCCCCCAGATCTCCGAATTTTAATATCTCAATTTGATTACCCCTAGGGGCTGGGTTTTTTTGGTTAACCATGGAGTTCACTCTCCACGGGGGATTTTTCGCGACCAAGGTACAGTACTGGACAATGAAATATCATATTGGAAAAACGATCGTCACTTTCGCGCGTCTGTAGATCCCTTGTCTTTGAGTTTAACCTATTAGTGTTATACATTTTCTGAAAGCTCTTTTCAAGGGCTACACAATGGTAATATTAATATTTAGAAATACGGTAAAGACAGGGGAGTTATAGACGCGCGAAAGTGACGATCGTTTTTCAAATATGATATTTCATTGTCCAGTAGTGTAGATAATTGATGGGAAACAGAGTTAAAAGAAAGACAAACAGACTAAATAAATAAATAAAGTAAGAAAAGAATAGAAATAACAAAAGGAAATCAAAAAAGGATAAAGGGAACAAAAAAAACACTTCTTACCTTTTTTTTGACTATTACATTCTTTTTTTTTTCTTTTTTTTTCACTCTTCTTATTAGTTTTACTTTTTATTTGTTTTTAGGTTTCTGTTTATTTGTTTTCCTTTCTCCTTAACCGGCAGTCGTAGCATTGAGAAATCCGATCTAGGTGTCAGATCGGTCTGAAATTTTGGAAGTTGCTTCTCTTATTAGTCGACTTGGGTCGTGTAAATTTTCAGAGAG